AATCTTAGTCAGTCGATGGTTATAATTGGTGAATTAGTTTTGCTAGAAAAACCGTCGTCATTACACGGACGGTCAGAAACGTCAAAGGGACCTTGATATATCTAATTAGTTGAATGATTTATATCGTCTTGGTACGAGGGATTGAGGAGAGAGGGACGTGGCCAATTATTTTGGAACGATTAAGAACACAATTTCATTGTAAGGTTGGTTAAGGTTTTAAGAGAATACCATGATTTTTTATTCATAAAATTATGAAAAAATCATCAGTTTCAGTTACATCGGTAAGAGACAATATGATAATTAGAACACATTTTGTCTCGGGACTTATTTTAAGATTCATTTTATATTTCTGGTACTTAAGACCTAGACTTATAGGCCTAACTTCGAATTCATAGTCTCAGCAGCTGTTTTGTGTATGTATCGTATTATGATGGGTCGTGACCTAAGGACCGTGCCACACGTAATTAGGAACGACTTGCGTGTCCTTCATTATCCTATAAGCATAGTCTACCTACATAACAATTTCCTCCATTTAGAGCCCTACAATTTTCTCTAGCGTGGCATATGGCTCTGCTACTTTACGACCCAACATATTTTAGGACCCACAACCGATGATTACCAATAAAAAACGATCCTTTTTTTCTTTGAGTAAAAAACAGAGCAGCGCGTGCGCGAACCGCTAGATAACAAATTGCAGAATCGACCACAAATTGTATGAAGTCTACATTAAGAGGAACGGAAATCCACATTTATTTGTCTTTGAAAAAAATACTTGTCTAGTTTTAACACAACTAGATAAAATGTTCTGTACGCAGCAATAAGTACTATGTTAACTTTACTCATTGAAAGACTGACTGTAGTTTTTTAAAAGAATCAGTTCACCACTTTAGGCTCATTACATACTTTGTAATGAGCTTGTGGGGGGCAGTTAAATCGTCCGTACCGGTTGCGAATGGTGCCGAAATCGCGGTAATATTCAATACGCAAATTGCCCGGCGGCTGTTTACAAAGACCTCCCCCACTTCTGACGGGCACAATTAGTCCGACCGAATTGCAAACCGCGATACTTTCCCATGGAGTTACTGATCGATACATTGAAACCTTAATGTCGGTCTTTTTGTAACCGATACGAAGGATTCTGGTTAATTTAAACAGAACTATCTTCGTGATGAATTAATACAATCGTGTACTAATGACATTATAAGACGGCAAAGACTTAAGAAACTATAGTGCAATCTGATTTGGTATTTTGAAATCTAGGTACGTACCAAAATTTTGAATACAGAACTTTCAGGCAAATTATTATGCCACAAAGTAACATCTTACTAATATTATAAATGTGAATATTCAGTAGATGGATCCATCCAGGATGTTTTTTAGAATGTATCTACGGAACGGTTCATTGGATTTTGATGAATTTTGGTACAGATGTAGAACATAGTCTAGAAGAACACATAGGCTACTTATCAAGTTTTTCCCGTCGGATGGAGTCGCGGGCGACTGCTATTAATAAATCAATAAAAACTCAATAGTGTTTTTATTTTATAGCATTTTTCAACGAAAAAATTGTGGAAATCTATTTTTATTTCACTTCTGAAGATGAGTAAAGGGTAAGAAAATCACGCAAAAAGCGTTACAATAGGCTGCCAATTACAATTTCGATTTAATTTGATATGTCGAGGTGAACGACAGCGAAATTCAACGGATGAGATAATTTCGTACACTTACAATTGATTTAATAGTATCAAGTTAGCGTCTAACTTAACTTCAACTTAGCTTACAAAGTAAAGACGGGCGTCCCGCTCACGCACGGTTCGCCTCAATTACGTATGATTGTTTTAAATCACTTAATATCCGCTACGTATATGTGTGCTTGTTTATTTTATTTTAAACTAAGTTATGGCGCCCTGGTACCCAAATCACTTTTAATATGAGACGAATAACTTATAATATAGTCTACTTATTTACCTTAGTTAACTTATTTTTTTTAAGTAAACTTTGAAAGACCGCTGGGTGGAAATAAAATAAAAACTTTTTTCTTTATCTATATAAATTTGAGTTAAAAAAAATAAAGCAAAATAAAGGATTTACTCACAAAAGTTTCGTGTATCTTAGAAGCTTGAATTAACAATATGCAAAATAGCGTGAAATTTCTCTATTATCTTCATTCGTAGCGCCAGTTTTCTTTTATCAAGTTTAACAGATGATTAAACTTAATTAAAATAAGGAAAATGATCTGTATTTTAATTGTATTAGAATTGTAATTCGCTTGCATTTATATAGTCTATAATATAAAGGTGGTTGTCCACTACGGTGGTCCGAACGTCAAACGTTGTCATATCTCGCATTATCTTCGTACAAAGGGCATTATTGTTCAATGAACATTGTAAATGTATAATTGCATTACATTTTAAGATTCATACAATGCTTCCTTTCTCCGATTACCTCAAAATTACTTTGCTTATAATATAACGAAAAAAAAACACAAATTCTTATATATGGTTAAATTATTTTACGTCAAGATGATAATAAGAAGGTATATGTACTTTTTAATGACTAACTGCAGCATTCAAAATTGAATGGGAGCTTAAACAGTCGCTGTAGATTTCTCATATTATGCTTAGTGACTTACTCAATGTTTACTTAAAGACTCTGAGAATCAGGATAATGTTAGGTCAAGATTAATTTGAACTTTTTGCGTGTCAATTAATTTACCGTTTTCGTACAAAATTGAGCGAGTTCTTAGTCTTATCCTTCGTTAAGATATTAGCGTTTCCAAAATCCCTTTGCATAGTATATACATCGTATATTTGTATGTATATTGTAGGTGTTGTATTGCACCGCGTTGGTGGTATCGAGTCGCGATCGGGCGTTGGCAAATGATGTTAATTTTCGAGTTTTACAAGCGAACAAAGCAGCGCTATCTGCCGGCCATCGCTCACGAACGCGCCTCGCGACTATCAGTTCCTACACCCAACACTCATTAAGACAAGAATACACCGAGAGCAGCATTATTAAATTAACGAGTATAGAAGAACTGTATAAAATAATAGATCTTTTTAGTTGTTTTTCTATTCATCATTTTTCTTCACTTCGGTATCCCAATGTGACTTTTTAATACACTACTTTTTTATCCTTTTCGGTGTAGTCAACCTATTTCCTTTTAAGCCTTCTAAGTTTCAGAACACTGACAAATCATAACTGTTTATAATATTTTAATAACTACAGATGTACGTATTATAAGTAGCATTATAATCGATAGAAAATAACTGAAATGTTCACTACTACTGTCATTTTGATACCTTAGTTAAAAAAAATGCCTCTAAACTCGGTGTAGCACTAACTTTGTAACATCCACGGCAACCACGACACGCACGGCAGTGGTCACATTACGTGACGCGATAGCATCGGATAGCGACAAATCGCGACTCACTACGCCAGCGCCACGCCACTACGCTCTGTTGTTGCATTATCTGTGCAATTGCGCGGGAACCATACTCAATTACGAATACAAATAGATTTTTACTTTTAGATTATTCCCTATTACAGAGCCAGTTTATTTTTTTAGCTGCACCGTGAAACAAATTACATTTCGGGATTAAAACCTTATTTGTGATGATACATTAAATGTTTAAAATAAGAACACAAAATATCGATTACATATTTTCAACTAAAAATCGATATTCCTTAATCGATATCTTTTTCCGAATAGATAAATTGTTATCAATACGGGGAAGGTTGTTGCGTGCCTCTGCCCTATAAACAGTGTAGGTGTCTAACGCTATCGCCGGGCCGCGGATACAGGTCCTATCGCCGGGAGAAGCCGAACAATGAACAGATAAGTCGTTCCTTACGATTAATGACTACTAATTCAAAGGATACTTTCAATAGTATTATGTAAGACGCGTAATTTACTCTGATCAGATGTGGAGTAAGGCGTGAGCGAGGGGGACGGAACAGACAACATTCTAACAATTGTTTTGAAACCTGTGTTGCTAACCTTATAATAGTTTTTTTTAGCCACCGACTCACCCTGGGATTGTAATATGTAAGTTTCAAAGTGGCATAAAATGTGTTAAAAGACCCCTATTAAAGGACGAGATAGTATAATATCCCTTAAGAGATGGATTAAAATATTTTATTATCTTTGGAGATTGTAGTAAGTACACTGTAGACTATTAGTTTGCATCAAATAATTCCATGTTAATCGCCCGCAATCAGGCAAAGGTGTGCAAATTGTCAGTCAATCGAACAATGAGATATAATAAAATCGCTATTTTTCAACTTCCTAAGATATAGGCAATTTATTCCGATCTAATTACGAAAACTATAATAGCATTGTACTTAAATATAGTCTGTATTGAGTGACAGGTTTTCGTAACACATGTGGCAACACTGAGCCGTAATTAGTGCAATTATCCGCCATTAGATGTTTGCTGACCTCGCACTGGACGCCGGAACTCCGCGTCCTTGTTCACTGAACGACGTCAAAAGAAGTGAAACGAAATTGCTCATTTATTTATAAACTGTGTTCACATTCTTCGTTCTTTTGTTTTTATTTTTTTCTTGTTTAGATCCTAAAAATCTAATCTACTATATTGCTAAGTAGCTATCTTTAATAATGGGACCGTCAAACCCAAAAACTGGTGCAGCGCCAAGAGTTTAACACGTAAAAATGGAAGCGGCATGAAACGTGTTAAATCCGATTGGTTATTTCTGAGGCTAACGCGACCAAATATAACATTCTGCATTCAGTTTTATGAAGTTCATATCACAAATAAGTAAACTGTACTTTCAGATATTTAACAAACTTGTCAAATCTCTAAATAAGTAGGGAGCGGTTTAAACGGTAAAACATCTAATGCCAGCTATCAAAATCAACAAAATCGTGCTTTGGCTTCTCGTAGGATCGTAGTTAACTCCTGACCTCCGTCTACGGTTTGCAGAAATTTCATTGCTCGTAACTAAGTCTTAAGCTAAGTGAACAAAGCTGTATTTACCTTAAGTGTTGTGCGGATAGGTCGATTGTAAGTTGTCATCCCGTCAGCATGCAGGAAGCGCACGGCACCTGTTTGTGAGGTTTAATGAAATTATATCGTAGAATCAAACAGGACTATGACAGGAGAATTAAGAGAGCTTCAATGATGTGTTAAATTTAACCAGAAATCTGTTATATGAGTTTAATTATGATTATCTTATTAGATATATATATCTGGAATGACAACTGACTGCTACATTCCCTTCTTACCCAAGATGGATTAATATTATAAATGTGAATGTTTGGATGAATGAATATTTGTTAGAAATCTCCAGAACAGCTGTATGGATCTCGCCGAAATTTGGCATAGATGTAGAACATAGCTTGGAAGAACACATAGGCTACTAATTAAGCTTTATTAATTCCGCACGGACAAAGTTGCGGACAGCTATTTATTCAATGCGTACCATCATACAGAACTACCTTTTAAATTAATTAATTGTAATTAAATATTCTATTAGTATAACTTTAAGTGGAAATATTGTACGCGATATCTTAAAAGATCTCTGTTCAAATCAAACTGCAATTAAAATTCCCGTAAATTAGTTCAGAGACGATCACGATGCGATGCAATTTAAAACGTGCCGATGTTTACACGAGGACAGTGATTGTACAATCAGATTGCTGTAACACTGCACTATACCGGGTTCGAATCCTTTTTTTAACCGACTTCAAAAAGGAGGAGGTTCTCAATTCGTCAGTATCTTTTTTTTACATTATAAAGCTGGAAACGAGCGAAGCTGCCCCTAGATATCCGTGCAGATACCTTGCTTACCTTTAATCGATGGAGTAAGGGACGCACAGACAGAGGATATTTCTCTTTTCCTATCCGTCTCTTCCTCCATCAAATCAATTTCTCTTTCCCATCCATTTCCTATAAGAAAAAGGAGGGAAGGAAAAGGAAACTAAAATTAGGCCTCCGACACACCGTTTTCTATATTAGCTCATCTTGAGAATTTGATACTTTAATTATATTATACTTTAAAAATAGAAGGATGCAAATTAATAGAGAAAAAAGGTCTAGACATAATTTCACAAGATAGCATAAATAATATTTACTTTTACTTTGTAAAAGTATTTCTAGTAGATATTTTTTTCATTTTACTTTACATTCATCTAACGTAACAAAAAAGTAACTGGACATTATTTTATCTTCTTTCGCTCTCTCCATTCCCCTTCTGATTGTCTCAAGTAGTAATAAAGATCAAATTACAAGATCTTAAGGCTGGTACAGGTTTATTAGTATGTTAAGAGCGGTCTGAGGTCCGTGCGGAATGGCACTAGCCGATGTAATGTCAGGCCGGCAGGGGGCGTGGCGCGCGCCTCACGACGACTGCCGGACGAGAGCTTAGCCCCAAATACACTGCTTCATTCTTTCACATCAGGCAAGGATATAGAAAAACGACGAGGATTTGTTTGACATTTATTTTTTTTATTTTGCTTTATGACTGGCTTACATAATTCTAATTGTAGTGTTGTAAATAGTTATGTACGTTACTTTATTCTAGATTCTAGGAGTAGTGATCCAAAATTAGTATTAATTTAGTTTAACGGTCAAGATCCGTTTAGCCATTATGGAGATACTTTGTAACGAACATCTATTCATCCATCCATCCAAACTTTCGCATTTATAATATAAATAGAAGTAAAATTTTCTGCTAGTTTTGACTTTGTATTAGAGTCTTCTAAAAATTTACGATATATTTTGTAACGAACTTCCATTATTAAAAACTCCCGCCGTGTGATCGCTTTGAACGCACGGTGCGTTATTGTGCGAATTAAAAAGGGCATCGCAATCGGCCGGCCATCAGGGGCCATCAGCGACCAGCCGGCGGGCGGGTCACGACGCAGACAGTGTGTGCGCGTCCTAACTACACTGTAGCTAGTGTGTGCGTTCCTATGCACTTTGCCTGCAGTGTGTACGCGTCCTAACTACAGCAAGTGTGACCATACCCTAAGTATAGCATAGCTAGTGTATGCGTACCCTTATTAACAACAAATTTAAATGCGTATGCGTATTATGAAACTAGATAACTCTTGATAAGTTCAGGTTTTTCGTCTTTGACAACATTTAAATATGGTAATTGTTTTCCTGCTAACTTAGCCACCTATTCGACAAAAAATACGAATACAATATTTCAAGCGTTAAAATTATATCTAAACTAACTATCGCCCGCGACTCCGTCGGCCCTGAATTGTAAAAGAAACTTAACTAGTAGCCTATGTGTTCTTACAGAATATGTTCTACATCTATGTCAAATTTCAGCAAGATCCATACGGCCGTTCTGCAGATACATTCAAACAAATATCCAACCATCTGAACATACGCATATATAATATTAATAAGATGATTAAGAAATACTTACGAGTATTATTTTTCAATATTTATCACTCACAAAGCAAACACAAAAACACTAATGGCGGTAAAACTTTTCAACGACGGTATTAAAATTAGTAATAAAACTGTGATCCGTCAATACAAACTGTCATATATTTTTAAATGATACCCACCAACAACTTTTTTAAATTTTGTTAAATTTTCCGTTTCACGCTTTACTTGCAATATTTATATGTACTATTACTTTATAAAAAAATACACAAAATTAACTAGCAAAAGATAATCAGTTGAAACATTGCACACTTACATATCGTTCACGCCATCTTGGTAATGTTTTCGCGCGCTTATTTTTACCTTTTTAATTTTATTACCGCAAAAGCACGGACACTCGTGACTCGGCGATCGTTCGGAAGCGTTATTCGATTTCTTCGTAATATTACGTTAGGAAATAAATTGCCTAAGATTCTGTATTATTCAGCGATATTGTACTGATTTTTAATATTTCTTTTTCGCGGAAAAAAAATATTATTGATGTTTTTAATAATAGATTTATTTCATTATTAATTAGCAAAGAATCTAATGAATAGTCTTAAATCTAATAATTTAATAATATAGATATGGATGTTTAGATGGATGGATAGATGTTTGTTAGAAGATATATCCAGAACGGCTACATGGATATCGATGAAATTTGGCACAGATGTAGAACATAGTCTGGTAGAACACATAGGCTACTAATTATGTTTTTTTTTAATTCCGCGCGGACTTAGCCGCGGGCGACAGCTTATTCTAAATAAAACACTGATTTTTAAGTTTTACTTTTACATGTCTTTCTATGTTTTAATATTTCAACAGGCGTCATATATAATGTTTCATTACAATTTTCGCATTTATACTCTTTAGCATTAGGTTTATTTTCGCGTGGCGCTGTTTTGACATCGGTTTTCTTCTCTTCCGTTCTTGAGGAACACATGAACTGCTTATGCTGTAACCGTTCCAAAGGTGACAAACATGCAGATATATCACAATCAGGACAAGTCCAAGGAATTCCGTATATTTCTTGATACATGTTGTAACTCCAATCTGTATCGATCACGCTGAAAATATCGAATATATAATAAATTCAATAACATATAAACAGTTTTATTAATAAAAACAGAGATATATTTTGACAAGGGAAAAACCACAAAGATTTTTTTTTATATTCTACAAGAATCATAATAATTATTAGTCTTTTCATATATCTTGGCGGCCCAAGGACATCCGCGCATTGCCCTGCCCAGGGCCGGTTTTAGCATTTCCGTCGCCCTGGGCGAGATTGCAGTGTTTATCGCAGCTGGAAAATCTTCCAAAGATAGGGTATCTTAGGGGCACTACAGGTGCCCTTTAATGCCCGGCGCCCAGGGCGGCCGCCCCACTTTGTCCTACCCTAACGCCACTACTGGCCCTCGCCCTGCACCCTCAAAATCGCAACAAATATAACATTGAGTTCTAAGCAGCGGTTCGCAAGAAGTTAAGAGCCTCCAATCTGAAAATTATAATACCCAATGGCCTGGGAACTATGTCAAACTTGGAACCTTTAAAATGGTAGAAAATATAAAAGAATTGGCATAACACAAAGTTAAAAAAAAAACATTTTTAAAAATAGAATACTTACCAATTATAGACCACATTATCAGTAACATAAACTCCACCTTTTTTCTCGTGTGCGCGGCATTCGAAGCCTTCTTCGAAGGGATTAGGGTCGATAGTTGCATGAGCTTCATCAGCACCACAATACAAGACCTTTAAATCCCCGGGAAGAAGTCGTTTGATCGTATATGATACATCGCTGTTCATATACGAACTTATATCGCAAGATAAATCATGCTGTAGTTCCCCGTACGAACATTTTGATGATATTTTAGTTTTCTCTAACTCCGATTCTACAGATTTATTTGGATTTGCATCTGGAAATGTAGAAAATCTTTTTGTAAAATCAAGCCTTATATTAAACTCGCGAGTGAGCGACGGGCCGCGTCCGTGAAATAATATCAGTACCACTCATCCTGATGAAGAGCCCCCGATGGGCTCGAAACTAGTCGGTGTCGCCACCGGACGATTACACGTGAGTGTTTAGCCGTGTTTATATATCAGTTTAGTATAATGTCTCACGAAAGTGTGAATAATTTAAGCCTTATATTTATTAAAAAAAAATTGTTGATGAAACAAGTTTCTTGTTGTCAAATTACACTAAAAACATATTTTCGAAACTGACTAAGATTACAAAAAAATTCTTACTAATATTATAAATGCGAATATTGAGATGGATGGATGGATGTTTGTTAGTAGGTATCTCTAGAACAGCTGAACGGATCTCGATGAAATTTGCCATAGATGTAGAATATAGTCTGGAAGAACACATAGACTACAATTTTTTTCTTTTTAATTCCGCGCGCATGATGTCGCGGGCGACAGCTAGTCATTACTTATTACTAAATAACCCTAATAATAATTGACGTATATATCTTACCTAATAATCTTCTATTAATAAGAGCATCCCAACGTCGTCGTAGTTTTACAGCTTTCAATAACAGATTCATTCCAGTCTCTGGATACGGGAATTCAAGCAATAACCAGGAATCGCATACGAGTCTTGATGAAGAAAAAAATTTAACAAGTTTTTCCGATGTAAAATGGCGGTATAAAATCTGTTATTTACCATGAGTTTCTCAGGTCAAAATCTCCGTTTAAAATATATAGTTATTTCTGTTTTGTCAAAGTGGATGATGTTTTATAGAGAGTTCGTAGTCTCAGAAACCACCGGTAAGTCAATTAATAACAGATTAAAGAGTTTTATTTAAATAAATAAATCTTAATATAATAATTATAATTCAAATTATTAAGCATCAATAGCCTAATGGTTATTTGTACGGCTTTCCGATCATGAGGTCGGGGGTTCGAATCCTTTTATTCGACTATTATTGTAACCTAGCACATGCATAGAACTTACTTGGAATGGTACAAATATTAGTAAATTAACAAAAATCTGCTAATAATTTATTTAAAAAAACTATTTATTTTGCTAGAGTATACGAATATTGAATATTTAATTATCCACGACGATTTTACGATGAAGGAAAACATCGTGATGCAACCTGCACATATCTGAGAAGAAATTCAAAGATATGTTTAAAGTTAACCCGTACTGGGTCAGCATTGACTATGGCCTAATCACCCCTAACTTAGGGTAGGCTTTGAGCCCCTCATTGGCTACATATAGTGAGCTGATGATAATGAAGTACATTAATAAATTTTCTTTTATAGATATTTGCAATTAAATAAGATCTTAGCAATGTATCACAAAATATTAAACACAAGAAATAGAAACAGTTTTATATTACCTAGTAAATCCACAATTAGTGTCGATAGAATGTGAGAGAAGTAACAAAGTCTGCGCTGCCGGCATACGCATTGAATTCACTATGTAAGGTTTTGTCGTCTCCAGTAGTGATCTGTATATAAATTCTATTTTATTAGTAACTAGCTGTCACGTGACTCCATCTGCGTGTACTTAAAAAAATAATTAGTAGTCTATGTGTTCTACCAGACTATGTTCTACATCTATGACAAATTTCAGTGATATTCATGCCGCCTTTCTGGAGATAGCTTCGAACATCCATACATCTATTCATCCAAACATTCGCATTTATAATATTAGTTATAAGTGATTTTGTGGTAATTTATTTTTGTATTTTCCTTATAAAAATTATTTATATACGAGTAATTCAATAGAAAGCCAAGGTTAATTAAGAATGTCAATAAAACATCGTTTGGTTCATTCAATTATCGTAGATGGATGGATGTTTGTTTGAAGATATCTCCGGAACGGCTCAACGGATTTAGATGAAATTTGGCACACATATAGAACATAGTCTGGAAGAACACATAGGCTACTTAATATGTTTATTTTTTATTCGCACGCAGTCGGTGTCGCGGGCGACAGCTATGTTTTTTTTTAATATTATAAGGTGGCAAACGAGCGAGCGGCCACCTGAAATTGTTGATTGCGTAATTTTCACTGCATATGCAATTGCATATGCGTTGCCTACCTTTAATCGACGGAGGAGAGGATGCACAGAACGAAAATATCTTCCCTTCCCATGCATCCTCTCATCCGGAAAGTCCGCTTTCACTTCCCATCCTTTCCTTATAAGAAAAAGGGTGGGAAGGGAAAGAGGACTAAATTAGGCCTCCGGGACGCACACTCATCAGACTGTACGCCTGTTTTCTGTATGGTCGTGGTATTTCACCGGACGAGCCGGGACAATTCGTGCGAAGATGTTAAAGCTCGCTCTACCACTATTAAAATTTGTTAAGTCAATAAAGTGATAACAAAATCAAAGTGAAACTCACAGATAACACAACAGTTGATGTCTTGCTGACAATGCCAACTTGCTCTTATACCCTGGCGGCGTGTCTGTCTGTATATCTGCCTCAGTTAGCTGCAGTATCCTACCATTCTTGCCGAAGTAAGATGTGGGATGCAGGAAGACAAACGGCTTGCTGTATGTATGGTAAAGTTGGTCTGACACTGACTGGGAGGTACAAATATTTTTTTTTTTAAATACAGTTCTTTGTATAAACAAATGATATATAAATTTAGATACTAGCTGTCGCCCTCGACTTCTTCAGTTCAGATTTAAAAGAAGTTGAGGGCGTCTTTATGCCTGCAGAGATCATCTACTTTCTCGTCAAAGTACTGTCGAAATCGATCCAGTTATTCCCGGAATAAACAAGGCCTTGTGGACAGACATACAGACATACTAAAATTTATTAATATACAGAAATATATAACGAGCAATAATCTAAAAAAAGATTTCACAGATAAGAACACAAAAATTTGCCATTTTACTATTTTTAGGGTTTCGTACCTCGAAAGGAAAAAAACCGAAACCTTATAGGATCATTTTGTTGTCCGTCTGTCTGTCTGTCAAGACCCTTTTTTTAGTTCCGCGGTGGAAAAGTCGCTGGCTAAAACTAGTAATTACTAATTTAACTGAGACTTACCTTGCAATGATTGAATTCATCTGCTATTGCCACTTGCGGGTACAATGCTCTACACAATACTATCTAAAATAAAACAAGAAAATTTTGAATTAAAAAATCACATTTCACTCTTGTAATCAATGGAATTCAAGATAAATCGATTAAGAAATAAAAAAAAACACTTAACCTTCAACATGATAAGATCCCGTCCACTTGATGCACTGGATCCAGATATCAAAGCGCGGATTCGTTGTGCGTCATTTGTCATACGGAACTCAATGTCACGTATGTCTAACACATTGTCATCTTCCGCTTTGTCATCTACGATCTCCCATGAATCCACTTTGAGACGTTTCTTACGTTTAGATTCCTCTGCTGCCTTTTGTTTGTATTGTCTGGAATTAATTGCTATAATATAATTAATATAATATTTTAACAGTGTTAGAGCGAGCTTTAACATCTCCGCACGAATCGTCCCGGCTCGTTCGGTGAAATACCACGACCACACAGAAGAC